ATAACTTTGTTGTCTCCCTTTGATTAAATTCTATTTACAAAATCTGGATATTTCATCATCTTTAGTGACCTTGACCTTGTATATATTGACCTAAATTATATGTATCACAGCCATAGTCTTGATAATGACCATTTGTGTTACAATCCCTCAATAAATGATGACTAAATGGTCCATATACACATCTTCATATTTTTATCTGAACTTTGACCTCTATGTGTGACCTTGACCTTGGCCGCAAGGACCTGAATCTTGCACGCGACACTCCGCCTCACAATGGTGAACATTTGTGCCAAGTAATATTGAAATCCCTCTACACATGTGGAAGTTTTGCTCCGGACAAGCATTTTTCAATGAGCTCTAAGTGTGACCTTGACCTTTGACCTAGAGACCTGGTTCATGTGCGCGACACTGCTCCTCATAGTGGTGAACATTTATATGAAGTTTCATTAAAATCCCTCCATACATGTAGGAGATATGCTCCGGACAAAATTGGACGCCGCCCGCCCGCCCGCCCGCCCGCCGCCCGCCAGGGGCGTTCCCATAATACGTCCCGTTTTTCAAACGGGCGTATAAAAACCCGCTATCGCAAAACAAATATTTAGTCATGCTTTTGTCCGTTGGTCAAGACCACTAAAGCCATTGACGTGCACGTGGTGCGTACGTTACATTTTCACAGTGTACTATTCACTATTAACAAAGGACAAACATTCGCCTGTCAAAAAATCGTGTCAGTGAGGCAAAGATTTGCAAATAGATGACGGACTAAACAAACATGAAAAACCTTAAACTTGTTTTGTATCTTCAAGGAAAGGAAACCATTACTATTCAATACCATGTTTGAGAAATTGAGCAGGAATTCATGTATATAGATTTTACAATATAAGATATATAAACTTTGAAACAAATTAAAAGAAATGGGGGCAGCGGTTCTTCTTTATGAGCTAACCGTCACTGAAAGTGAGTATTTCACTCTTTTAGAATAATTTTTGGGTAGTATTCTTGCATTTTTTCCACAATGTCGAGGAATAATGTAACTCCCCCCCCCCCCAAAAAAAACAAAAAAACAACAACAAAAAACACACACACACAAATCCAAGCAAACAATCAAAACAACAAACAACACAAATTTGAAAACAATTTCGGCGTTAATTGCTAAATAGTTGAATTATTTGCATATGAAAATAACCTTAAATGAGGAAAACGTTACTTTCAATAGCCAGATAATTTAAAAAGTAGGACCATGAACCATTTTTTTTCTTAAAATGGTGTTTTTAATATGATTCTCACCCAAGCGTTGTACTCGTCCAAATATATTCCCGTATTGTTCAGGTCAATAAAAGAATTAAGAAATGGTTATTCAGTACTGAGGGCATCGTAGAATTAGAGTGACTGATCAGTCAGCCCGCAAACATTTAACCGACTGATACCTAAGACTGAGATCCGTTAAATGTTTGTAGCTGACTGGGAGGTCATTATAATGCTAGGGGGTCAAAAGTAAATTGTGCGCTGTCTCTTATATTATGCCGCAATTACCTTGCACATAATGGTAAAAGTGTATCGAGGACGGACATTATTGACTATTTTTAGTAAAATGTACTTACAGTCATATTATGATAAGAGGTGTTCAATAATATATAAACAAACTTACAAAATGTGTAATCAGGTTGTGTATACAAATTAAAGGAACTATTTAGGTTTAAAAAGTATTTATAACTATAATATTTCATTCCATACAATGCGATTAGTCAGATGGGTTCTGAAAGTGTTCCAGTATAACAAAAAAAATTAACACTGTTGTTTATTTTTTGTGGATCTGTTTCATTCATTAATTTCCTAAACGTAAACATATTTTTGTTTTGTTCATTAATTTGTGGTAAGAGTCGTTTACGTTTATTTTCAAAATAGATACATGAAACAATGTAATAAAATTCATCACATATGCCATTTGAGTGACAAAGACTACATTTTATTTCATTTCGAACAATACCTAACCACCTTCCTTTTACTATAGGGAGGAGATTGTAACACTAATATAAATAGAAATAAACAAATGTTTGTCTGACAGTAGACAAAGGTACGGTTCAAAGCAATGGTCAGTTTTGTACACTCTATAATTTAAGCATTTTGGCATTGAATCGACATCACTACGCCAGTTTTGTACCTATTGGATACACATTGATATATCAAGTAATTTAACAGTAAGCATTTTGAACCAGTAAACTTCTGATTTAACCAAATATAACTCATACCTGTTGCGTCAAAAATCCTCTTAACATTACCATTTGTACTCTTTACCATTTCTTACAAAATCTTCGTATACAAGCTTATAAATATTTGACGACAATTTTCTTGCTGAATTTTTGTTGACTAAGTCAAACCAATACTAGTAACCAGCAATTCTTTTTAATATAGTAATTGATAATGAGAGTCGCCCAAGTTCGCCATAAACCATAACTTGCGGTGTACATTTTTAACATGAAATATATATTAAATGGAATCTGTACGCTTTTTTTCTTTAAGCGGCATGTACGCATAGCCCCAAACTTCATATCCATAAGTTAAAATTGATAAAATTGCATGATCAAATTACTTCAACTGACAGTAAAATATGTAAATGTAGATTTCTTATTTTCTTATAAAAACCAAACATTTGCCCGTCTTGCTTGTTCAACAAGATGTTTCTTTGCAACTCTTAGAATAAACTACACTTAGGTTTTTAAACGTGTCTACGATCTCTAAAACGTGATTATCTACCGTGATATTCCTGTGTCTATTTCTTTTATCACCAAATACCATTACTTTTCTTTTATCAAAGTTTACATTTAATTTTCAGGTTTGACAATAATTTGAAAAGGTGTTCAACAAAAAAAGAATGGTAAAGTCAGCATATAACAAAACAACTAATTTCAAAAATATTTCAATGTTATTAATTTCTAGTATAATTGAAACATAACATGTAATTCTCTAAGTCATTAGGATACAGAAAAAATACCGGTGACAAACCCTGTAACAATAAAAAATGAAAATTTGCCATTAACAGATACACATAACTTGATTTCACCATACATGTTTTTTATTACATTCAAGATCTTCCCAGAAATATTATATTTGATAATTTTACACCAAACAACTGCTCTCTTGAAAAGCACAAAAAAATAGTTTTCTTATGTTTCAGGTAATATGTTAACATGTGGAGAATGAAATTATTATCAACAGTTGAACGATGCTTCCTAAGTCTAGCTTGGATTGAATTTAATAAATTATAACTTTCATGATAGTTTTTCAATCTTCCATTTACTATACTTGTAAATAATTTCCCTATATAACTAAACAATGTAACAGCTATATAGTTTTCAGGCATTTCAATGTTACCTTAATTTTTTATAGATTGAGATAATACATCCTGTCAACCAAGAATCTGTCAGAAAGTTCAGTGTTTAGAATACAGTTAAACAATTTGTGATAAAGTGGTATAAGTAAAGTACTGTTCCCCTTAATATATTTGTTAGTAACTTATCCAGACCAAACGCCTTACCATTTTTAACTTTTGCCATTGCTTTTTGCATCTCAGATATTGTTATGCTGTCATTAAGCCCATAATCAAAATCAATAGTTTGAAAATCTGTTTCTGGGTTGTCATTTGCATCTACAGTATCTGAATTAAGCTGTCTATAAAAATCATAAAATGCAGAAATATCAAAATGTATACAGCAATGTTCTCCTTAACATACATGCTTTAACAAGAAATTTTAGTATTTTGTTCTCACTGTCGGGTACGTAACACGGTGCAGATTTTCCGTGATACAGTGCTTCCATCCAATATGGAGGGAGGTAAACAACAAGAAGGTACATGTCATTTTCTTTTCTATGTTTTTAGAAACATCCGTTTTATATAGTAAAAGAAGATTAGTTGCATATAACGTGGAATAAATTCACTATAAGATCAATAAGTTCACAATGTATGTTACATATGATATATATGATTTTTTTACTAAAAACGTTTGTAAATAAATGTACATGAAATTCAAACCGAGCGAAGTGCTAAATGTTTGAGTCAATCTCCGTACAAGAGACATTTATATTGAAGTGCAATTTCAACATTTTTTCTGTCAATTTTGTTTATTCGAAATTTGTGTACTTTCTGTTTTGTCTCGACAACAGTGCAGACACTTAGCAACGGTACGGACTTTCCGTAAGAAATAAAATGGTGAACCTGATAGTGGTTCTGGTGATTTTTAAAAAGAAATACTATTTTTTCTGTGTTTGTCATGCTGTTATATACATCATTTATAATTATATTATTAAATGTCATTTATCTTATATCATTATCATTTTCAATACATGTATTTGATTCATTAAACAATGACAAAATTATCATCTATTGAAAGAAGTACGATTTTATCATCGTCATCATTATCCACCGTAAGCATAATCTTGAGTCTCGCCTTGTACAGAAAGTAGTGTTTATTGGTGTATGTTAACGTTAATATTACAGTAATGTACATGTATACTGAAGTACTGCTGAGCTGACATTGTGTGGCGACCGCAAGAGTCACCTCGCATATATTCTAGGACCCTATATGTCCAGTTTCTTTTGTGACACTGTTGATAAGTTAAAGATATTTTTGGGTGCCACAAACACTTTTGTTTTGGAGACAATTCAACAATTATTAACAGTAAAATCATCAAACGGAATATAACTATAGTCTGTTGGTGTTATATTAAGTTCAAACAAAGAGCAAACGTTTAAAATGCGACCTCTTTTAATAATTTCAACCAAGAACAAAGTCACTTAAACAAGATAACTAGTTCATTGTAGGAGACTGGATCATGGCTGGAAAGAGAAACCTATTAAAACCTGGAAGTGCTATAGCCTTGTACTATTTTCCAACTTCAATTTCATTGTACCGAACACTAATGGTAACAAATACAATAAAATCATCCATACTTTGCATTCTCGTTTATTTTATCTTGTTTTTATTTTATTTATCACAGATGTAATAATAAAGCGAAAGTTTCAAATTCTTCTAATAAATGTTGTCCGGAATGCATCCTGAAATAAAAAACAGAAAAAAACATATTATCATATTTGTAATTACGTAAATTGTTAAATATAAGGAACAAAGATCATGCGTAGCTTAATTCTTATTTTGGATTACATTATCACTTATGTGACAATTGCTAAACCTTTTAAGATTTCCTTTCCAAAGCCATCCGAAGCCATTCAAAGTAATTTTACGTCTGCATTCTCAAATTATTTGAAAAAATAAAAGACAACCAGGCCCCGAGCCTATTGCTTTCTTATACGAAAAATCCTCTCTCCGGTCTAGATTCAAACACAGAGCTGCGAGAAAGATCAGCAGCTTTTAATTTAAAGCCCCATTTTCTAAAAAAAAAATTAAATTAATTCAATTTATCACACATACCTTACAATCAGTTCTGATATATTTATGGACATCCACAAGAACTACAAATGTCACAGTAAGAGGAGTCCCTCAGCAGTTGCGACTCGAAGAAGACAAGAGCACGATTATCTAAGGAAATAAAAAAAGAAAACAGTAAATGAAAGTATTTTTAAGAGGATATTATATATCTAGGTGATATTTAGGAAAACAAAATAAGAACACAAGAATGGCACGGACCGTAAAGCATGTAAAAATAATGATTTCACTAAATTAAGAATAATGGGAATGGATAAAGGAAATTAATGAATAAAAGAATGAATCAATGAATGAGTGATAATAGTGAGTGAGTGAGTGAGTGAGTGAGTGAGTGAGTGAGTGAGTGAGTGAGTGAGTGAGTGAGTGAGTGAGTGAGTGAGTGAGTGAGTGAGTGAGTGAGTGAGTGAGTGAGTGAGTGAGTGGACTAACCAATATTATTGTCCTTAAAAATATGAAAAGAGACCAAGATATATTACCTGGTTCGTAGTAGTCAAATACCCGGATGGCAGCAGGTTTGGTTTTGGCAACAAGATCTGTTCTGATCAGTTCTACAGTGGCACATGTTTGTGGATATACGTTTGGCAAGATCTGGAAATGATGTAACAATTATAAAAGATATACATGTATGGGATATCAACTTAATGGCATATTAATAAGTTATGCCTGGAAACAGTGGAATAACAACCAAGTTCAACGTTTATTGGAAGACAGCAAAAACTCGTTCGTCATTGGTCAATAATTCCATCAACCTATCAACAAATCTGAGATGAATTCTACCCTTAAACAATAAAACAACTATGTTTGGACATTTGGAGACCTATACTTATTAACAAATGCAATAAGCTGAGAGCTATGTTAGTTTACTAAAAATATATGATTGTTTTGTTCTCATATATAAAATCCGTGTATATAGTAGGGAAAAAAATCTTGAAAAGGGTAATGCCTCGGAAGCAGTGAAACAACAGTATTATATGAAAATTGCACACTCGGTGCAAAAGTGCAACATCTCTCACGCTCCCTAGCACCGGCTTAAGCGGTTTTTAATCATCAACACTAACAATGATCCAGAAGGACCAGAAACATATAACAGCACTGTGGTGTAGTACCGTGTTTGTGATTGAAAATATATAAAGTCTCACCTGATCATAGTAAAGGACAACGGTTTTCTCGTCTCTGATTTCAGATTTTCTGACTTTGTCAAGGTGCGTATCTGGACTCTCCAAATCAGCCGAGAAACCGGAAGGAAGGTCTATCTCTATGACAGCCATGCCAGGGTTGACGAAACGCTGTGGCAAGTATCTAGAACGAAAATCCTAAGCGATGATAATAAATTGTGTAACAGGTAAAATGGAAGTCTAAACGAACGCCCAACACGGCAAAATATTGCAAATTTAATTAATTGGTTTCTTAACTGCGTCTTCGCAGAAAAAGAGTACATCTAACCATTGCTGCTCAGTTTTTGCATTTTTATGTACTGAATACTGAAGTTACTGAATACTGAAATTGTGCTCTTCTGTTTATGTTTATTAGCCCGGGTAATTGGATCAGCGTTGTTTATTGAAAAGTATACATGTATGCCGTAATGTTTCATTTGCAGTATATTTCGCCTTTTTCGTATTTGAGCAAAGTAGCAAGATATTAATAAATTCATGTAAGAAGTAGTATAAATATATGAAATATACTAACTATGGTATTTTTGTTATTATCACATGCATAAAAAATCCTTTATCTCATATAAGATATTAATGTAAAATCCTTTATAAATGACAGATGGAGTTAAGTTACCTTGCACATGTTTTCACAACAATTGACCGGATTGTTTCCCTCAAAATTGTTGTTGTAATGTTGAAAGCGGGAAGAGAAACTTCAGTCTCTACATTGAATGATACAGACACCTTAAGTTGAAAACAGAAATAATTCTTACACAAGAACAGACAGTAAAATAGAGAAAATAAGAATCCCTAAAGAAAGTCCAACACAACAGAACTGAAAATGTTGCAGGCTCGGTTTGATTGATAGTAAGATGACACCGCGTCGGATTCTTCTGAACAGCAATTGATCATAACTTAATATAGCAATACATACAATGATAATTATTTTTTGAATACTTCAGTAAAAGTACTGGATTAGTATGATTTTAACAAACTGTCCCATGATGACCTATGACCTAAATAAGTGAACATTTTCAGTGGTTTGAGAGACAGAGCATGCTTACAAACCCTCACCCTAGAATTGCTATGTAACCAAAGACCAATAATTAATAAAAAAAAGTATTATCTTTGTTCATTTTCTAATAAAAAGATTCCAGCTTATTCTACTGGTATAGAGAGGACAAAGAATCTTTTTACATTCTGTTTAGTGGTTGAATTCTATGATAAAATTACTTTTTACTTGTTTTAGATAAACTTACCTGTACCAGGGCCGAGCCTGTTCCATGACCTTGGAGAGAAACAGCGGGTGGGTGGTTGAAGCTGTTGTTAGAATGGGCAATTGCAGTGTTTGGTATCTGTTTAAAAAACATATTGTTGGTCATTTCGTGTGTTTCAAAAATTTACTTTTAAATCACACCAACATCATTGTGGTGATATGGCAACTTGTATTTTCTATTATAGTACCATTACAACTCTCGCGTTCATAAATGTTTACGTATCTACTGGGTAGTCGTTTGTGAATATTTTATCATTATGACACAAATAGCACAAGATATAATATACTAAACATAGCATGCTTTCAATTCTGGCATATATTAAGTATATAGTAAACTTCACTTATAACGATATACCGCTTATAATGATATACCGCCTATAACGATGCTGTTGCCGCGATCCCGACTCCTGTTTTCAAAATGATTGCCTCTCGGATATAAATTCGGCGGTTCCCTGAATATCGCTATAAGCGGAGTTTACTGCAGTACGTTATCATTTAGGAATAAATTCAGAGTTCTTTTAATGCGTTATAAACTCAATTAAATACTTACATCGAGTAATTTTAGGACCATTGCATCGTTTTTGCCTATATGTATGTTCTTATGAAAGCTGCCTGACTCGACATCAATTGTGAGATCAAGTATATCCTTGAAAACAGATCCATATTCCGACATGGCCTGAAGTCCAAGGACCGTGTCCTGAAAAAATGTGTCAAACATTTTGATAATAATAAGACCTAATTAGAATTAACGTCAAATCTATATAACCTCAGATAGATTACTGCATGATGACAGTTTCAATAAACACTGTCTTGTCAACATAATAATTTTTTATTTCCATTCCGTCGAGAGAGTTGAATATTGCTACCATTTTCTAAACATTGAGGAAACCATCCACAAAGTTTAATATACCTACAGTTAGCTTTTTAATGTACGAAACTGATCCATAACCAACATCATGTCGTTGATAAGTAAACATTCTTCCTTTACGTCGACATCTCCATCCTTTTGCTTATTTGTGTGTTTTGATTTGCGTTCCGATGTAAAAGTGTTTGTTTGAACCGGCTTACGAATATAACGTTGAGTTAAATGTACTGACTTACAATTGTTGATATACAGTTCAATTTAAACATGCATGTTGTGTTACCTGTGTGGATCTAAATCCACCCCTAGAGTTCCTTTGCGAGATAAGCCATTGTAGAATGGGAAAGCCTGTCTGAAGCTGCCTGCTGTCAATAAGGTATAATAACGCATACGAGGCAACCTCTATCTCTAATGGTGGACTCTGATAATAATTCATCTCCCAGCCCGATATATATAAATGTGGTTGACTGCGTGCCACGGCCCAATGCATTTTTCCATCTGTAAGAAAAGTCAGATGTGTTTGCTAAATATTCTATAATTTGTGTTTAGAATATTGCTCCGTACAGCAACTGTTCTTTTCTGTATTTCCTTTTCTAGTTGTTGCTGGAATACACAACTCTTTAAAAAAATTGTCTTTGTAGATAAAGTTTTGATATGTTAACAGCAAAAAAAGAAATCTTAAATTTTTCTTTCTGAAATTTGTTTGATATAGATTACCCGTTAAAGCTTGTCAACTTACGTACAGTACGTTAATATTTCCATGTGCTTTCAAATTTGTTACAGAGTATTTAAAATGAACAGCTGTTTTGTTGCTCCAGAACATATGGACGCTTTTTAAATATTAATTATAACGTATGCCGACTCTTTCACGAAATTGCAATGTCATTTTATTTACCTTGAGTTTTTACAGCGAGTTTCTCGAGTTTAGTGTACGCTTTGTAAGCGTGTATACTTCCGGTTTTACTCAGGGCATAGCTTATTATAGCTAGGTCGTAATCATCGGTGACTTTGTCCCTCAGAATTAAATTCTCCAGATATCTACGCGCCTTCGATACCATATTTGCGTAGTTGAAATAGGTTTTCTACAATAGAGACAGTTAAATTTCTTATAAACAAAGACGAGACAAGTTTTTCAATGTATGACCCGAAGTTCTAAACTGTAATTATACAAAATATGATTGCATGCAGTGTTACGACTGATATTGCAAGTGAAATGAAAATACTTTGACAGCAATGTAATGCTATAAGAAAAGTTAGGCCATGAAAGGCACGCTCATTTGTTTCATATTTTGCTTTGTTCAATTTCATATTTATTTTATTTTATGTCAAAATTGCACCTTTTACACACATAATAAGTTTTTGTACTTGGCAACCGAATCATTTTCTTTAAAAAAGCAAACGCACAAAAAACTAGGATTTGAACCTTTTTATGAAGAAAAAAGAAACAAAAAGAAGAAAAAACTCAGATTTCAACCAAAATACACAAAAGTGGTTGAAATCAAACGACATTGTTCTCTGGGGACCAAATAATATTTTATAACCCTATCAATGTATTAATTTGAAAATATAACATAGTAAAAAGAAAGAACAAGTGTAATTACGTCCTGAAGAACAAATTCTGCGTCAGCAAGAGCTATCAACACAAAAGCCGAGAGGCTATATCCATTGCTCGATCCTCCCTAAAAGCATTCGGTAATGAATAAATCAAGTAGAATGTAAAATTCAATTAAAATAATACGGTAATGAATGATTCAAATATAATGTAAAATTCAATTAAAATCAATTACGGTTATGAATAAATCAAATAGAAAGTGAGATTAAATTAAAATCATACGGTAATGAATAAGTAAAATTTAATGTAAAATTGAATAAAAATCATACGGATATGAATAAATCAAATAGAATGTTTAATTCAATTAAAATCATATACTAATGAAGAAATCAAATAGATTGTTTTGTTTTAATTCATTGAACATACAAATTTTATTGAGAATAAACAAACTCAAACCTTGAGATTTGTTGCGTGCACACTTCCCTTTGATTGGAAGGAGCCGTCGTAATTTTGGTAACGGTGTATCCACGAAGCGGCTCGGATAAGTACAGAATCCGACACGTATATGTAATCGCTGGCTTGATAGAATGATTTCAACACAAATGCTGTCAACCTGAAAAAAGTAAGGCTCTTTATTCCATTGAAGTTGAAAAAAGTATACAGTAGTTTTATCATCTGAAACTCGAAATGATATCTTAAAGGTAAATATATTTTATTTCACATCTTATTTAAATATAACCAATAAAATTTCAGCATTTGTGCTAAGTTTTATTCCAATAGAAAAACATTATAGGGTCCAATCTTTTCAATTAAGCCTCATTTCCCAAATCCATATCGAATGCATATTGCTCCCATGTAGTCCTGTTTTTGTGGGGTTTTTTTTCATGGTAAAACATGTCAAAAGTGAAAAATGTGAAAAAAGTTAAATAAAAAGGACTGAAAACGTTACTGATTCTATTTGACTCATACACACCTGCAAAACCTCTATCAGATTCGGCTAGTCTCGCCTCGTCCAACACAGGTTTGACAGCATATTGTACTCGACAGTGTATAATAAGCTCATAATGTTACATGCTTTGACCTCACTGATCCAGTGCGCAGTGTACTAAATTTTTGTTTTTTTTCATACTAAATTTGGTACATTTTAATATTATTAGTAACATACCACATGCTCCCCATGCGGTCCCTTTGTCCCCATATGCTAAACGAGCCATCATTACGCTGAAACGTCAGCTCACGTTGGTACCCTATAATAATAATAATCATTACTATTTCATTATTGACTTTAATTGAAAATAAACACCCTATTACATTAACATATAAGTAGTTATATTTTAATATTTTGCAAAGTATATCAAATGTATTAAAAAAATATCGTAAACATGAACAAAAGACTTTGTTCATGTTGTAGCGTTATGTCTGTAAAGAAGAAAATTGAGCTTGTCACATCACTTTGTATTATTCAATTCAAGATAAAATTTAATCATAACTTAAATTATTCATAAAAGAGATTTACATAATAGGTTCACTTTACATTATATGATATACAAATAAAATATCACTTTACATTATACGATTTACAAATAAAATATCACTTTACATTAGATGATATACAAATAAAATATCACTTTACATTATATGATATACAAATAAAATATATGTTAGTGCACAGCGTCACTTTACAATATAGTGTAAAATTAAAATAACAATTTAGAAAGACGTTTTACTTGTTACATCAATTAACGTGATATAATATATATTTCTAAATGATAATATAAAATAAAACTGTATGATTTTCATAAATATATTTTTTCAACCATTTTGAAAGAAATTGTTCAGTAGACCAGTGGAACTTTCGCATTTTATTCTATACCTTTATACATGTAATCTAAGGTCATTTCTGCAACATCTTGTGTCAACTTGTTTGTCTTTTTTAAATAATTGTAGACGAAAACATCCGGTGCAAGACTGGTCATCGTCTGCTCCCCACATCCGGTTGGCATTCTTAGTAAACTCTTAAGGTTCTTTATGGTGGGCCCCATTGTATCGCCTGTTAAATATTAATAACTAAATTTAATCTAGTCTTTTACGCTGTACTAAAATAACAAAAGTATTTTAGCTATTATTTTTCATAAATATGTTTCAAAGTTGATATTATGTTAAGATTAAAGATTAAATATGCATATTGAATGTGTATACCATGGACAACGTTCTCTTTTGTCAAGAAAATAAATAAATAAATAAATAAAGAAATAATGGCAAAGATTTTCAAGAAATACAAAATAAATGCATTGCGTCACTTTACACGCAATTATCCAGTTCAAATGATGGTATTCTCCAAAAAGGGAGGTAACTCATTTTGTAGTTCGCACGTAAGTGTTATTTAAAATCCTACGGTCCAACCAACCAAATGTCATTATATAAATAGCATTTCCAAAAAGGGAGGTAACTTAGTTTGTAATTCACACATATCATTTAAAATCCTACGATCTAATCAATCAAAAATCACTATGTAAATATCAGCACATAAGTGTCAATTCAAAATCCTACAATCCAACCAACCAAAAATCACTACATGGCTAGCTTTATCTTTTATTAAATGTATATTTGACATAATTTCATTTTCAACACTTTATTCAAAATACAAAGATTGAGCCAGCTCATTAACAGTATAGAACCTTGTCAGACTGCACATATGTGCTGACTATCCTTGTTCTTTACTATTGGCAGAGTATAATATCACTTCCAGCAAGTTAAATTTGTGACTTAAACTACAAATGATATTTAAACTACATTCGAACTGATTACGTTGCAATCGTGTGTAAATAAGTTTAAATATCGTTTTATAATCGTACCTATTGCAGATATTTGGACTTTCTGCGAATCAGCAACAAAAGTTGGCGGGAAACTAAGTGGTACGTTAACTGATGTGTGCTCATTTATTATCATTGGAACGTTAAAATGCATCGTTTTTCCTTCAGCTTCTACGATCAGTTCTCGCTTCACTCTATCAGCGGAGAATTGTGTTTGTGCCTTCACTGTGATGGTAGCAACGCCAATGATGTCTGCGACAACGGGAATAAACACTGATCCCGCCTGACCGGCTTCAATCTGTTTCCATGGAGACACGTGTATAATAATTATCATGTTATATTTTTTTGAAGGAAATATACCTTTACTAACGTTTAAGATTGCAAATAAGAACGTATGCAAAATAAACCAAGAAAATCCATTAAGTTTATGAGTGTGATTTTTTTTAAATTTTAAATCAGCAACATAAATCGACGAATGTTATACATTGTAACAGAAAATTATTTTACTTAGTTTATTTCTGAAAATGGGTAATGTTTCGTATCTAACACAAAGAGACAGTATAAAACTTTTTAAAAGTAGCATTATTTTAGTTCATATGGTATAGGCAAAGTTAAAGAAAGTTTCATTTATTAATCAATTAATAAGAAATAAAAAGCCGAATAAATTATTTAAAGACGTAAAATATATACATGTATACTATATGTCCAGAAAACAGTCTTTGGTGAATTAGTTTACAAATTTAACACATACAAATACGTACCAACCCGTCAAGACAGCTTACAAATAAACGAGGTTGTATGTAACTAAGGGTGATACACACGGATAAATTAAATTAGACTATATAAGTTTTTAAAGGGTACTTACATGTATTTGTTTCACAACCTCGGTCGAGTTGAGTGTAACGTGTGCGTTTGAATCGTTAAAAATCACCTTGAAGTCTGCTGATTTCTCCAGAGTAACCACAACCTAAATAATAACATATCGATGTTAACGTATGCACAAAATAAAAGCTATATAGTATTAAAAAATAAAATGAAAGCATCTTTTTGTGAAAGAAAACACAAAATATGTATATTCAACCTTACAACAAAACATAACGCGCTGATATCAGTGCGTTAAACCTGAGATTGATGGAATCAGCTTAGAGTCCACTTAAAAATTTTAATATCATGAAAAAACATAGCCACTTTAATGCGGACTATATGCTTCTGTATATGTTTATGCCTTAAATCAGCACATAAGACCTATATCAAAATATTATCAGATGAAAAATAAATCTTGTTTTTTTTCTTCTGGAAACTTACGTCAAGATCTTGTCCCATGTAGTTGAAGACGTTGGCCTGTAGCACAACTTGTTCACCTCTGATGACAGAATAGGGAAGATTAAGGCTGATAAAAAATGGCCGGAAAGTGGTGAACTAAAAGATGAAAATTGAACTACATATATAATTATGTTATTCATATGTTACTAGATATTCACAAAGATTACCCAATAAAATAGCCAAATATGATAGCCCACAAGAAGGCAAACAAAATAGGTTTAACTTACAAGATAAATTAAAAGAGAGCCAAAAAGATAGTCAATAAGAAAATTAACACAGAAGATTTCAGGATTAGCTTACAAAAGAGTCAATAAGATGGTAAGAATGGAATCTAACATAAAAGCTTAAAGGATAGATTACAAGCGAGCGAATAAGATAGTCAATAAGAAAACTAACACACAAAATTAAAGGATAAGCTTACCAAAGAGTCAATAAGATGGAAAAAATGAAATCTAACACAAAAGCTTAAAGGATAGATTACAAGAGCGCCAATAACATAGTCAATAAGAAAACTAACACACAAAATTAAATGTTACAAAAGAGTCAATAAGATGGAAAAAATGAAATCTAACACAAAAACTTTTAAGGATAGATTACAAGAGCGCCAATAATATAGACTATAAGAAAACACAAAAGCTTAAAAAAGCTGACAAGAGCGTCAATACATTACCGGTAGCTTATAAAAGCTTCTCAGATAGCATAAAAGAGGGCCCATAAGATAGTCTTTCATAAAGCTAACATAGTAAGTAGCCTGAAAGACATCTTACAAGAGACCAATTAAGCACTCGTATCTTTTAAAATAGCTTATAATATAGCTTAAAGGCAGTTCGTATGAAGGCTAATAAAATAACTTGCTAAACATTTACTAACTATCCAACACGATCGTCTTTCAGAATGAAGGTTAACTCAATACATTTGTATCTGAAAGATAGCTCGTTTGCAATGTATCTCACAGGCTAGCTTACAGGAAAACCACGACGGTTCCAAGCAAAATTAGACAGGTTACTTCAAAAGTAAGTAAAGAGACATCTTTCTTCTGATGCTCTCTGATTTGAAAACATTTTTTTGTCTATATACCTTCCTCTAAATGTCTGTCGACGTTTGGGCGGAGAAGGAATGTCTATTAAACAAAATGTTGTAGTTAAAGCCAACATATACACCGTCATACCTTTGTTGCACCATCAGTGACGCCCAATCCGGAATGTTTGTTGACAGAGAAGGCTGTTGAATACCAGGAGGTTATCGTGTCAGGTACAGATGTTGTCAAGATGGCATTGCCACTAGAGCTGAGAATGTAAAATTTTGAATAATTCTTAAGAGATAAGAATTAAAAAAATTGTAATGCCTTGCTGTATAATAATACACGGTTCGGTGCAAGGTTTAAGTTTACATGTGCAATAATATGATCATGAAGGCTGTATTGACGTCGAATTTGACGTGAAGTGATGTGATAACATTAAAATGTTTGTCCAGTTTATATAATTATCTTGCAGTTATCCACTCAACATCCCACTTCTGGCCCCGAGGCCATAAATTTTTTAAAAAATCTCAACTCATAGCTTAGGTCCGTGCTCCGAGTCACAAGTAAGTGGAGATTTTAGCTCAAAATGAGATTATAAAAACGTTTGATACCAATCTCAAATTTTTAAAAACCCCGGGGTTTTAATAAAAAGAAAAATGTTTAAAACCACCGAAGCCCAAATAAACATTAATAAACAATCAAAACTGATATCGCATAACAAAAATAAAAATACTGGTACGGGAAAAAACAATTTATTTTTTGAAAGAGATGAATGCATTTTAATACTTAACAAACAAAAAATATAGTCAATCAGCAAATTAAAACCATTTTTTTTAAAACCCCATCTAATTTTTTATATTAATATAAATTAAAAATTTTTCTAAAAACCCCATAGTTTTGTTTGTCCAAAAGCCATGTTTCCCGGGAAAAAAACTCTTGTATTTGAACTGTTGCTTAGACCAAAAGTAAATTTTTTTATTTTTATTTTTTAAAGCTAAAAAAATTTTAAGTAAAACGAAAAAATTTTCCTTATTTCATTTAAAGGGGTAGAGGCCCAAATTTTTTTTCCCCCCCAAAAATGAATATCATGATTTTATATTACGTAAACGCAACACACATAAACAAATGCTTTAAGGCACTGTTCGCACATAACCCAACCAATTAAACGTCTCTTAAACACAATTTATTGAAATCCTATTCAAAATATTAATACGATATCTGGGCAAAACATACTGCAAGAACATAACATATGCTTATTTCACCCTGTTTCACCATTTAGTGCATATGTCCGAATATAAGCTTAATTTCCAGATTCTATTACCGTTAAGTCACGTAGTATGATATCATGTATGTTAACAATATTGTTGACTCACTATGGAACAAGAGCCAATGAGCTCCCAACATTTTCAATTTTACCGTATTGGGTCTTCTTTAGGGAATCTGTTGTTTTCTACTGTATAAGTAAGTTTACTTGTGTCTTATTTAATTATTTTATAATGGGTATCGTAACGTTTTCACAGCCATAACTTTCGATGCAGCCCATTAATATGTTATCCATATGTTCAAAGTTTTCAGTCGGATTATCACAGTAGAGGTCATATGACAAGGTTTCAGCTTTACTAGTGAAAGAAAACCTCAGGTTCCCCTCGTGCATTTTTTCAGACACGAGGGGTCACTGATTAGAACCATCGATGTTTCGTAAGCTTGCTGGATAGTTTCCTCACATGAAAGTATCAAAATCCCTGGCAACATTCAAACCTACAGCGGTAAGGGGCAAGTAATTTGAAGTCAACGACCTTAACAACTAGGCCAAATTGACACAATTAAAGTTAACACCTTTAGGTTAAGCTTTAAGTCAGCCAGCAGTATTTTTGTTGTAATTATTGTTCCTAATTTTATTTTATAAGCAGAACACTAAAATTATTTCATCAAATTATTTCTCTATCAAGCATTTTTTTAGCTAAAAACATTAAATGTTACCAGACAAAGATGCACAGAAAAAATGATTTCATAATTTTACCAAGTTTCCTGTTCTAGAAAATGTTTACCTGAACTAGCTGTTGGTATTGCACCGGACACTAAACCTAAAATACATAAATATACCTAATATTTACCTAAAATACAAACATTTAGCTTATTCTCATTGTAAATAATAAACGTATATATATGCTTACCTGAGTACGTGTATATGTTACAAAATCAACAAAAAACAATTACAAAAACATTGAATTTAAAAAGCTAAAAGTCCTGTCCAAAACAGCTTGCCATCTTGTTCAGCAGACCATTTTCATTTGACAAAAATCTATAGAGGACCATCTGAGGTTCATTCTTAAATAGTTGAATCAAAGTCCACCAAACATTTAAGGGGGGATTAGTACCGATCAATATTTTATTTTGTTCGGCAGACCGGAAATAAACGGAGTATTTTCAGTAAAAGACAGCCAAAATAATCGTATCTGTAAAGTTGCATCAAAATACATTTTGAAAAAAGTTATGTCGTTTAACACTTTTTCTATTTTCATCTCTGGCTGCCATCTTGTTCAATATGATAATTTCTTATCGTTTCAGCACTACTGGTGGAGGGATTTAAGAGAATGAATTGTTTTAGTGAAAAGGTTAACGACGGACACAGGGTTATCACAACAATTCACCTCGAACACGTTGTGCTCAAGTAGCGCGATAAGATGAAAAAAAGATCAAGTAAGCGGTAACCACATGTCTCTTAAGGTTAAATATGAAAGTTCATTATAACTGATTTCTTAATTTAACAAAGAACGTTGATACAACATGTTTCACTTTGCATAATCTACTGCGTAGTTATTTGAATGAAAATACTATATTCAACCAGATGAATTAGTTTCGTAGTATAATCAAAGAAGGTATTTCAAGAACATAACATATGCTTATTTCATCCTGTTTCACCATTTAGTGCTTATGTCCGAATATAAGCTTAATTTCCAGATTCTAGTACCGTTAAGTCACCTAGTATGATATCATGTATGTTAACAATATTGTTGACTCACTATGGAACAAGAGCCAATGAGCTCCCAACATTTTCAATTTTACCGTATTGGGTCTTCTTTAGGGATTCTGTTGTTTTCTACTGTATAAATAAGTTTACTTGTGTCTTATTTAATTATTTTATAATAGGTATCGTAACGTTTTCACAGCCATAACTTTCGATGCAGCTCATTAATATGTTATCCATATGTTCAAAGTTTTCAGTCGGACCATCACAGTAGAGATCATATGACAAGGTTTCAGCTTTACTAGTGAAAGAAAACCTCAGGTTCCCCTCGTGCATTATTTCAGGCACGAGGGGTCACTGATTAGAACCATCGATGTTTCGTAAGCTTGCTGGATAGTTTCCTCACATGAAAGTATCAAAATCCCTGGCAACATTCAAACCTACAGCGGTAAGGGGCATGTAATTTGAAGTCAACGACCTTAACAACTAGGCCAAATTGACACAATTAAAGTTAACACCTTTAGGTTAAGCTTTAAGTCAGCTGCAGTATTTTTGTTGTAATTATTGTTCCTAATTTTATTCTATAAGCAGAACACTAAAATTATTTCATCAAATTATTTCTCTATCAAGCATTTCTTTAGATAAAAACCATAAATGTTACCAGACAAAGGTGCACAGAAAAAATGATTTCATAATTTTACCAAATTTCCTGTTCTAGAAAATGTTTACCTGAACTAGCTGTTGGTGTTGCACCGGACAATAAAACTGAAATACATAAATATACCTAATATTTACCTAAAATACAAACATTTAGCTTATTCTCATTGTAAATAATAAACGTATATATATGCTTACCTGAGTATATGTTACAAAATTAACAAAAAACATTACAAAAACATTGAATTTAAAAAGCTAAAAGTCCTGTCCAAAACAGCTTGCCATCTTGTTCAGCAGACCATTTTCATTTGACAAAAATCTATAGAGGACCATCTGAGGTTCATTCTTAAATAGTTGAATCAAAGTCCACCAAACATTTAAGGGGGGATTAGTACCGATCAATATTTTATTTTGTTCGGCAGACCGGAAATAAACGGAGTATTTTCAGTAAAAGACAGCCAAAATAATCGTATCTGTAAAGTTGCATCAAAATACATTTTGAAAAAAGTTATGTCGTTTAACACTTTTTCTATTTTCATCTCTGGCTGCCATCTTGTTCAATATGATAATTTCTTATCGTTTCAGCACTACTGGTGGAGGGATTTAAGAGAATGAATTGTTTTAGTGAAAAGGTTAACGACGGACACAGGGTTATCACAACAATTCACCTCGAACACGTTGTGCTCAAGTAGCGCGATAAGATGGAAAAAAAGATCAAGTAAGCGGTAACCACATGTCTCTTAAGGTTAAATATGAAAGTTCATTATAACTGATATCTTAATTTAACAAAGAACGTTGATACAACATGTTTCACTTTGCAAAATCTACTGCGTAGTTATTTGAATAAAAAATACTATATTCAACCAGATGAATTAGTTTCGTAGTATAATCAAAGAAGGTATTTTCGATGGTTTTAACACAGACTGTCTATTGTTTTTGTGTGTGTGCGTGTGTGTGTGTGTGTGTTTGTTATGTTTTGTGTTTGCGCGTGTGCGTGTGTGTGTGTGTGCGCGCGCGCGCGAACGAATGAGTGAGTGAGTGAGTGAGTGAGTGAGTGAGTGAGTGAGTGAGTGAGTGAGTGAGTGTTCTGCAAATGTGAAAATATGAACATTTTAAAGCAACATTTCCATTTCTGTCAACCTTTTCATGATGATGAAGTAAGATTTAGAAATATTTGTATCACGATAGAATTTTGTTAATTTCTAGAAACAAGCTGCTGTAAAGTCATAACAATCGCCCAGGTGATACATACATTTATCACTAAGCTGTTTCTGCCTTTTTTCTAAATTAACAACCATTTAAATGTTACAATAATAATAAACAGCTTTTAGTTCGTTGTCTTACATATAAGTAGTCATTATTTTCATAATTGTTACCACTAAAGCAGCACACTTAGATAATTTAATCACATCGTTTCTTTATCTAGCAATTCTAATTTAGCCTAAATTAACAAATTCTGAAGTGTAAAAACGATTTCTAAATTTTACCAAGTTTCATGTTCTAAAACATGCCTACCTGGTACAGCTGTTGGTGATGCAGGCATAATTAAACCTGAAATAAATGAATACAAAATTTATCATCTGATGCATACGTTGTTATGTACCATCATCAAAATTATCAAAAATGTGACATCAGTTGGATACAACGCTCATTTTAATAATCTCCAAAGTAAAACCAACAAATAAAGGCTTATTACCTTTGATATAAATGAACGTTGAAAGAAACCGCATTTGAGTCATGCTAAAATTACTTTTTATAGTTAAATTAGAACAAAGGCATATTTATCACAGCGTTTCTTTATCAAGCATTCTTTTTTTAGCTAAATTATGACAAAAACATCACCTCTTTGTTTAGCAGTTAATTTTGTTGTCATACCAAGACAACATCATATTAATAACATCGTTCCTACGCTTAACTAAGATAACAGCATTTTGGTAACATCGTTTTCTTATCTAGCAGTTATTGTTTTAGATAAAGACAATATCGTTTTATCACATCGTTTCTTTATCTAACAGTTCTTGTTTAAGCTAGATTAAGTAATATAATTTAATCACATCATTTCTTAATCTAACAGTTATTTATTTAGATAGATCAAGACAATATCATTCTATAACATCGTTTCTTTATCTTAAAAGTTCTTATTTAAGCTACATTAAGAGAATATCATTTTATCACACCGTTTCTTTATCTAGCAGTTCGCTTTAAGCTGAGTTAAGACACAGCATTTAAATCATATCGTTTCTTTATCAAGCAGTTCTTCTTTACCCTTAAGTAACAAACACTTAAAAGTAACGAGGCAAATAGCAAAGACAAAACGGGTTTTAAATGTACTAAGTTTTATATTCTTGAAAATGCTTACCTGGTTGAGCTGTAGGTGTTTGTCCGGGCATCAAAAATACATTTATTATTTATATGTATCATCTGATACATTCAATACATTCATTGTTAATAAAAGTACCATCATCAACATTATCAAAATATGACATCAGCTGGATACAACGTACCTTTTAACAACCCCCAAACTAAAGCCTATCAACCAATAGCAGCTAATAACCTTTGACATGACTAAACGTTTAAAAAACCTATTGAGCCTTGCTTAAAACTACTTCGACAACAGGATATCAATCACATCTTTTCTTTACCTACATGTAACAGTTCTTTTTTAGCTAAATTAAGATATCACCATTTAATTCATATTGTTTGCTTGTCCAGCAGTTCCTTTTTAGCCAAATTAGGACATCATTTTAATCACATCGTTTCATTAGTAGTTCATTGTTTCAGATAAATTAGGACAACAATACTTAATTCAAATTATTTCGTTATTAAGCTTAGGTAATTAAGGACATCATTTTATTCACATCGTGTTTTTATCTAGCAGTTCTCAATTCATTTCTATCGTTTTCTTTCTGTTCTAGAGTATTTTTACCTGGCAAAGCTGATGGTGGCATTCCACCTGAAATACATAAATATCGTTCATTTATTATTAAAATGTTTCATCAGTTCTGATACAAATTTTGTTAATTAATGTACCATCTCATTATTGCTACAACCTATGCAGAAGATGTATATAATTTTTAATATTTTTTAATATAATTCCTTTACCGGGAAGCTATTTTAGCTAAATAAACAAACACATGATGTAAAAACGATTTCTAAATTGACCAAATTTCATGTTCAAAGTATTGAAATTTTTAGGACCAATTTAAAATGAACGCTTATTTAAAATGATCTCAAAATGTAAAATTCTTGTTATCACGTGATGTTACATAGCCTAGTAATGAGGTTAAAGTAACAATAAGCTCATTTATCTTCGTTGTCTAGTTGAGGCGAATTAGACACATATTTCAAAAGATTGACCAATTTATTAATTGACCAATAACTGATACTCACAAATGTTTAGGGTAAACTATTAATACTGCCAAAAATATAAAAAGACAGCCCACTCTTTTTTATAAAATGAGTGTTACTGATACACTCTGAAGGATATTTATAGAATTTTTCCTGTATCATGTGGGTCATTATATATTCGTAAAAAGAAGGATATGAAATTGTGAATAAAAATGGTAGACTGTACTTTCATTTTGGAATTCACTTGTACTTTAAACATGTACATTTAAATGGGGTTTGAATCTCATTTTAAAAAGTTTATCTAAATATTGTTAGTACAATAACAGCTTTGATATTTTCATTCACTAAATTTTCATAAAAAAGTATTTCTTTTTTTATTAAAATATAATAAATTGCCTACAGTTTCAAAAATGATATAATGTTAACATTTCCTGAAATACATTCATCATATTTTGTTAAAGTTCTGTCTATTTTGTACATTCTCGGACATTTCGCAAATGAACAACATATTTTCTCACTTTTCAAGTATAAAGATGGCCTTAGAACAATTTAAGCATTATATATACAGTCGTAAAGCTTTGTTTTTTACAGGGAAGTATTAGAACCAATATAAATCATAATTTTGACATTTTGGTCATATCTTTATCAAACTACTTTAATTATAAATTGGGTTACCTGGATACGGTCCACAATCTATTTGACGTTTATGAAACCCAGTAGCCCACTGGAATCCATGAACGTCAGTCAGTAATTGAAAACCTTGTCCCTGTGGTAATAAAAAGAAACCAACTCTTAGAACTCTCTTTAGCTTTTTCACAGATAGTAAGGGGTATTGAGGACTTAATGAATCAATATCTCTACTTTTAATGCAACAATATCTCTACCTGTTTTCTATTAAGTTAGGCGCTTCTTTGGTATGTTACGTCTCAAAAACAACATCAGTTGGTTTATTTGACAGGTGTGACGTTTTCATAGGCTTTCATTTCTTTCAAATCTAGTAAAAACTGAACAGATTATTTATATTTTTAACCTTTCATATGTATCCTATTCCAATATTGGTTTGACCTGTTTCTTAAAAAAGCTCATACTTAATTAAAATTTAAAAAACTGACTCAGAAATGAAAGTGTACAATGTTCAAACAATGAAACACATGAAAAAATTAATTTACTGTCCTACTTGGTGTGCTTTGTATTGAAAAATATATTGAATAAATTATATTTTATATTACAAAGCGAATCGATTACGTACGTACATTGATTTTTCGTATGTATCTAGAATTCTTGAACGTTTCCTTTGCTATTTCTATGCGTAAAAATTGACATGTATTTCACGGATCGACAATTTATTAAGTTACATTATGTTTAAAGAAACCCACTAAAAGGCTGTGAATATTTTTAACTAGTTCAGTGTATGTTCTTAATTCAAACTTTCGCTATTTTCATATCAAAATCTGCTTAAGCCAGTCGTTGGTAGCTTGCAATTACTTAATGTCCATGAACACCGTCAACTGGACCGATCCTGGAACATTTCCAATTTTACCGTTTTGGCCGTTAAAGTTTGTACATTATGCTCATTTTCATTTCAAAATGAGCTGAATTGATTATATATTTAAAAAGATTGACTGTTTTGTTGGTGATTAACCAACCGTTGATATTTAAAAATGTTGAGAATAAATATAAAAGTCCCCATCTTTTTATAAATTGAAGGTTACAGGTAAATTCTGATAAAAATTTACAGAAATTTCTTTAGGTCACGCGAGTTATTTATCGTTTATGCAAAGCAAATTATAAAACTGAAAGGAATTATGGAATAAAGTCAACGTATTTTGACTTTCACCTGTTCAATTACACAAATGCATATGCCCTTGGATTGGCATACTGTCACTTTACGTCGATTTTTACACATTTTAGTCATTATCCCGCATTCGGTCCACGTTACCGGATTTTTCTAGATATCTTGTTATTACAAAGTCAGTGACCCCTTGATCACAAGTAAAGATGTTTTTGCCGACACTTACCTCCATGACCCTTTTGGGATCATGCAATTCACTAGAATCTGCCGAGGAGTGCGAGGAAGGTTGTAGCGATCTTATAACCTGTAATGAATGTAAGAAATAAGATACTAGCAAAACACAGAAAAAGATGAAAGACCAGTCTTTAGAATGCGTACCCATCCAAGTAAAATTTAAGTATTTTTAGATAGGTTGTCTTGATAACACGGGGACCCCATTCAGGAGTAATACTACAGATATATTATCCTATTTTCAACTCAAAGCAAAGACGGTCTTAGTTTGAAAACCCTGATATGTTATTTATCATTTCGACTCCATTTCAGCGATGTTATTTATGTCTTGCTAGCTTGGACAAGCATTCAGGCTACGCCTACATTAACACATTTACGCAAACGTTAAACGTATGTTTTTTTTTAAAAGAACGCCTTTTTAAAATAACTATTCAGTGTATTCGGAAAGGTTTATAATTCTAATCCAAAGAGTGCACAGAACGTATCACTTTCATTTGACACATAAAAAGCATTAGATGCCAAGATGAAGAAGTATGAAACATGTCGAGAGCGAAATTCACTTACATTTTATAACACGCGTCTGTAAATCATTTTGTTGTTAAAGTTTCAGGCTTAAAACAAGTCGGAAAAAGACTTGAGGCTATGATAAAACAATATCCTATGTTCATGTATTCACAGAATAGAAATTGATTTATAACTACACGGGTATTGTAATAACCTTTGTCATTTTGAAATTGCAAATCAAAATTCTTACGTCAGACTGTGTGACGTCATTTCCGGATGCTAAAAGCAAGACGCTCTGGTCAACAGCAAGAAGGTTTACCAACGACTGGGGATCACTTGTTATGGACAAGCTTACGTTCTCCCCAGGCTCTGCTTGACTTTTGTCGAATGACAAAGCAACCTAAATAAAACAATCGTTATATCATGAGGCTTGATAAAGTCATTTGTCTTCCGAGTATTACTATATAAGTTATATTATAATGATTTAGACAGTGACATACAAGAATTACTTAATAGTTTCAAGGAAAAAAATCTTATTGCTTTCAAGTTAAATAAAATATCAAAAATTTGAAAATTGACAAATTGCAGTTAGCATTGATTTTTTACAGACTTGCGCTATAATCAAAACACCTTTATAATTTAGAAAATGCAGTTTGACATTTCATATTGAAAGCAACATATATTTGCTTTGAACTTCATTGTCAAACATAGATAAGTTAAAATATCAGAATAGGTTTCTACAATAAAATACCGAGCAGAAAAGGGTTAAAGCAACGTGAATTATCTCTTCGGCGATAATAAGTCTAATCATACGTTTATCCCTTTTCATATATATAATGAATGTCTACTGACTATATGTATGCTTATGCTATTTTATGCCATGTTATGTTACGTTACGTTATAAAATGGCGTGAAATCAAGGATAGGATCAAATCTAGATCATACAGGCTGTAGTTTCATTACCTTGTTTTTGAATTTGTTAGCATCTTCTTTAACGTCGAAATACAGTGCGTCAGCATTCCACAAGTCGGTATCGAAATAGTAAACAACGAGTTTTCCGTATGGCTTCATCTTGTCGGTCACGTGGAAAGACAGCTGCATTGTATTGGATGCATTGTCATGCAGGTAGCCCGTTTGTAGCATACGAGAGTTTGCAAATATCTGTTTTCATAAGTGATGATTGGTTTATAATGTAAATTTGTTTGTATCCTCAAAACCATCAATGTTTCAGTTTCAGTTGATGATAAAACAGTTCTATTTCATATTCAGTATCAAGATATATAACACACACGTTGAATGTGTTATAATCTATTAAATTAATAAAAAAAATTACATTAAAACGCCACCACTGTTTGATTTTGATTAGATAATTGATATGATATATAAAAGATAGAAGTTACTCACAGCGTAGAAGAATGGAATATGGTGCAGACCGTCTGATCTTATTACATTGAACACAGCATCTTTTCCAACCTGATTGAAAATAGAAAAAAACACGAATTAATTTTACGGGCAGACCACTGTCGATTTTGAAATTCAGCTTTTTTCCATTAAAAAAAGTTCAAATATTTTCCGTATTAACGATCAATTTTCACATGAATTACACGATGATTAGTATCAAAATATGCAAACACATACATTAACAAGATGCTCCCCGAATAGGTTTTGGACACGGAGAAGTAGTTTCTTGTCGATAGCTCTTGCAGTTTCAAAGGAATGACCCGGACAAAGTTCACAGTGTAAAAATAAAAAGGGCAATACATTATTACTCGAAAATAAAGCAAGGCAGGGTTACGTTTCGTATGCATTGCACTTCAACTAAATGAGATCTATCCACCTGCAAAGTATCTTGTGATACGTCTTGTAGTTTCAGAATTATGTCCCAGACAAATTTCACAGTGTAAAATTATAAAAGGACAATAACTCCAAAATTAGGTAAGGCAGAGTAAAGGTTGTTATGCACTGCATTTCTACTTAAAGAGATCCATCTATCTACAAAATTCTTGTTGATACCTCTTGTGGTTTCAGTGTTATGTCCAGGGAGAAGCTAAAAATGTAAAAATGAGCAAAGGACAATAACTCCAAAATTAGATTAGGCAGAGTTACGGTGCATTTGCGTTGCACATCTACTCAATAAGATCTATATACCTACACAATTTCTTGTTGATACCATTTGTGGTTTCAGAGTTATGTCCCGTACAAAGTTCAAAGTGTAAAAATAAAAAAGTTCAATAATTCCAAAATTAGGCAAGGCAGAGGTACGGTTCTTTTGCACTCACATTAACCAAATGACGTCTATCTATCTACGAAGTTTCTTGTTGATACATCTTGTAGTTTTAGATTTATGTCATTTGCACTGCACTTCTATTATCTATTTACGTACAAAGTTACTTGTTGATGACTCGTTATGTCCCAGACAAAGTTCTAAAGGTAAACAATTAAAATTAACAAAAGTCGATAACTCCAATATTAGACAAGGTACAGTTACGGTTTTTTTTGCACTCACTTACCCAATGACATCTATCTATCTAAGTTTCTTGTTGATACATCTTGTATTTTAGATTTATGTCACGGACAAAGTTTAAAAATTAACAAAGGGCAACTACTCAAAAATTAGGCAAGGCAGAATTTAGGGTTTTTTTATTACTTTAAAATTTTAATGAGATTGTCAATTTTACAAAGTTTCTAGGGGAAATTTTTTTTTCTTTTGAAACCCTTCCAAAAGTTTTTGCCCCAGACAAAAAACCCAACGAAAAAACCGGCGATTTTAAATGCTCTCCCCTTGGGGAGCATTAGAATATCTCAATGCAAGTTAGCTAGTATGTTAGCTATGAATCTTCATTTTAAAATAACTGTGATAGTATGTTTTCCAAAGTAACTAAAATATATTCATATAATCTAAATAATAAAATAGTCTACAATGGAAGCAATGAAAATAACAATATTACATATATATTGTATATGAAAATTATCAACTCGGTTTGATTGGATCTGCTCATGAGAAATAATGTAGCACATCATGATATAATTAAGCACAACATCTCACACGCCACGTAGCACCTGCTTGAGTGGTATTCAATGTACATATTTACAGAAAACATACAACAAATAGCCTATCAATGTAAGTAGTGCTTACTCACCACGATTGATGACGAGTTTTGTGAAATTTGAATGTTTCCATCGTCCATTAGCCAGTAAGGTTTCTGAACGTTCAATGTATCAGTGAGTCCCTCATAAAATACCTGAAAGTGAAATAGATAAAATACTGTAATCGTTTAACAATGAAAAACACAGGTTAAAAGACTGTCATCAATTGGTGAAATAAGCAAAGTTTGAATATTATCAAGCTTGTGATGAATGGTACAAACTTTTTCAAAATCTCTGCTATTATTTAACTGTTAGAAACCTAGAATATTTTGAACAATAGGTGGAAAAGTTATAAAACTAGAAAACATAAGATCGTCAATGAACATTCAAACATCTTGAAACTTAAATAATTTTGATCCAAAAGAACAATGCAATATAAATATAAAATAATAAAAATATAAAAGTCCGTTTAAAAGTATTTACAGAAGAAGAAAAAACTAATCAGAACACACAACAAAAGTCCAAACACAATCATAACATTCATCATTTCAGTAATGATAAAAAGACACAAATTAAACATCTATATATAATTTTATATTCTATGATTTGTGTGTTTTTTTCGTACATACCTCTAGATTTAAAGAGGATGCGTTAATTATTTGTAAATACCTCTAGATTTAAAGAAGATGCGTTAATAATTCGTGCATACCTCTCGATTTATAGCGGATGCGTTAATAATTCGTTCATACCAGAAGATGCGTTTATATTTTGTACATACCTCTAGATGTAAAGAGGATGCGTTAATAATTCGCGCATGCTTCTAGATTGATTTAAAGAGGATGCCTTAATAATTCGTGCATACCTCTAGATTTAAAGAGGATGCGTTAATAATTCGTTCATACCAGAAGATGCGTTTATAATTTGTACATACCTCTAGATGTTAAGAGGATCCGTTAATAGTTCGTACATACCTCTAGATGTAAAGAAGATGCGTTAACCGGGGGGATGACTGAAATCTCGATGCTACCAGTGACCGATGGAGCATAAGTTTGTTCAGTAAGATATTTGGCCCTGTATCTGTGTGATTCATGGTCATAGAACTTCACATAACTGACAAGGCGAACGTTTTCTGTACTCGAAATAATTGGATTTCCATTAGCTTGAGTCAGTATAACCTGCAAAGAATGAATGAGGAAGATGTTTTGTATTTCTTTGTTTTGCCTATTATCTTTTCTTAAAGCGTCAAATCAACAAATTGGAATAGGAAACACTGAAAACTATACTTAGTTCCCTTAACTTACTTTACTTTTAGACAACGAGCAAACTACACTTCAATAAACAAACACAATTAAAAATATTGGGTATATCATCTTATTTTATTATAGTTTTGTACTTTTAAAATATTGTTTTTTCTTCGATTTCTGCTTTACATCATTAATATGAACAAACAATATAAAATACATCCTATAGAAAGCTAGATGAATAAATATATTAAGTTTTGGGCATTATAAGTTATAGTTCACAGTATAATCTTACATGTCCGATGTATGGAAGTCCTGGCTTGAAAAACGACATACTGGAGGAATGGTCAAAGTGCATCTTGTATGGTTCTTGGTAGAATACAACCTGACATGAATATTCAAAATAATGTTATATTATAGTCTCATATTGATCCATGAGTATATTCGTTGGTTAGTTTATACAAATGGCAAATTAAATTTGTTCTCATATTCGAATATTGAATTTTTGCGGAAGACGGTGATAGAGCATAAATATATCACTTTCGTTCATGAACATGCTCAGTCAGTCTGAGCATACAAAATCTTACACAGTGGTCACACTATCAATATATAGTGTCATTAAAGAATAAAGAAAAGTCCAACTTTAATTAACCTGCTTTAGGGAACGCAGCTTCCCATACATAGTTTATTCATTCTTTTATTCAAATTAGACAATTGCAGTAAGAATTTCAGAGAAATTTCAATAAATTTCTATATTAAGAATATTTTACTCAAGGATGAGCACGGTATATCATTAAAGCAGTACAAACCTGAGATGTAGCGTTCTTTGTAATGTTATTAATACTCTCTGTAACGGATGCTTTTATCAGCAGGTGATACCCTGCCAGTTTTTCCACAAATGGTTGAAACGTGTATGGATCGACTTCATTCGTAATTCTACTGAATGGAACGGTAAATTTGGCTTCCCCATTTATCTTTTAAATACAAAGACAAGTGTGATATTTAACAGTGAAACAAAAAACGCAATTGTAACATGTTGACTAATTAAAACTGAATTTAATTATACGAGAATGTGTTTGCTGAGTAAAGTTACGAGCACTTTCAGTAACAAGAAGTAAACGTCTAAATCTGCCGTTACAACTTTATATATAAATACTACATGATATCTCCATGATTTTCAAAATAATTCATTAAAATATTGGTACATGTATATTATTTAACAGTTTTCCCGCTAAGTATCTAACATGATTTTTTTTTCGACAAAGCCATTTTGTAGAGAATTTTTTAAAATAAAAACAAAAAAGCACATGGTTATAATCTATTGTTGCGTTAAGTTCAATTAAAAAGTGCATGCACTTATAAATAAGTAAGTACTAATACATTATTTCGACTATATCATTGCATGAACCAATGCCGCTTATGAAAGAAGTCCTGACATCTAGGAGAGAGGTATCACAACAAAGAGGAAAACCACCGTTTACAGCAAGTTAAAAATATCTTATTTATGCCATAGTTGGAAATATTTTTACCTTCTTTAGAAAAGGCATTTATACTACATTTATCAAGTGACTAAAACGTGGATTAGAACAATAATTAAACAAAAACAACCCTTACATCAAAAGTAGCCTCAACCATGACTTCATCTCCATGTTTTTTCCATGGCGTTTTGCTGTAGTCAATGTCAGCATATAACTTTACTGTGCCTATTACAGGCTTGCCATATGTGTATCTGCAAACAATGTAACAGTATACTTTAAAACAGAAAATAACTGCTGTCATTTCTTTAAAAGATAGAATATAACTTTTATCATTATTTAAAAAAAGAAAATAACTGATATCATTACTTAGAAAATAAAATAAAATTGATATCATATTACTTTACTTTAAAAATAGAACATAACTTATAGCAAATTTCTTTTAAAAATAGAATTTTTTAAAAGATTTTCATTATTTAAAAAATAGAATATAACTACTTAAAAAAAACTAAAAATTTTGGGTGTTTTTTTGAAATTTTTAAAACTTTTTGACCCGACAAAAGAATTTTTTGTAAAGCGATTATGTAAAAAAAAACTATTTTTTAAATCATTTTGATATTTTTTTTTGAAATAAAAAATTCAAATTAAAAGAAAAATTTTAGGCAAACAATAAAATAAAATTTTTTTCTTTGCCTGACGGTTCCATGCCCTTTCCCTTTGGGCCGGGACCAATAGGGAGTTAGTTCTACGCTTCACCTGGAACTTTGGTAAAACTGTAAGTAACAATCAGAAATATGTATAAACAACTTACAAACTTCATTTAATCATGTTTTTATGTTGAATAATAATTTTACAACTTGTTTTAAAGAGATTATTGCCTACGGCAATGGCATTTCCTGCAACAATAATATGATCAGAAATAAAACACAAAATTAACATTTGATACTTTTAAATTGTAATCTAACTCTTCATATATGAAAATAAATTAAAACATTCAAATACATTTGTTTATTGCTTATTTATAATAATGAAAAATAAACAAACAAACACATGATGTCACCTTACCGTATTTATCCACTTTGAAATATTTCTCTTCAGTTGCTGTCTAAAGGAGAAAAAAACAACAAACAATTAATATCTCGATTTGATGTTTTAATTTCTATTTTTTAAAAGTAAATTGGTATATCATGGAAGGTCTTTGTAATGCAATAAAAATATATACTGATAATATTTAGCGTCAGATATTATATCGAACCACGAAAACATTATATATTTATGTTCTTGCCGGTAATTGTGATGTGAAACGTGATATTCTACAACATGCATTCATATAAGAGGTAATAAATTGTTCCAGAACAAAATATTGTTATTCATCATATCTAGATGTTCATTTAAATAACTAAGAGCTTGATCAAAATACAAAATGACATCGATACCAAAAATGTCCAAATTATAAATTTTTATTGTTTCTACAGTATTTGAAAAACTTAAACAAGTAGAAGATTGTAGACAGATTAATAATGATTAATATTCATATTTAATTCTACTCATGTAATTCATTGCCATTCAGTCTCATTATATTTCAGCATAGCATATTTTCAAGCTGAATGAAAAATACTCTTTTAACTTTTAACAGTTAGATGAATGACAAATATTTTGACATATTATCTGTTTAAAAAACTACGTATTATAATAAAAAGACTGCCTCAAAGTTTTTTATACTCTGAGCGTTACTTATACATTCTATATATGAAATATATATGAAATTTCCGTTTGCCACGTGGGTTATCGGATAATCATTAAAAGTAGAATATAAAATCGACAACAAATATGTCAAAAATGTAAAGTTATATTTTACTTTTTTTCCTCTACTTTCACATTTACACTAGGGGTGGGTAACTAGGTGGATATAACTTTAACTGACCATGCATACATTGTAGCACTGACCATACACAGAGCATACCATGCACATATGATTTAAAAACATGCAAGCTGTCTTTACAAACTTACCACCCCTGATAACGAGTTATATATTTCAGTAAGATTCTCATTAATATTCTGAAGGTGGAGAGGCATGCATGTATTGATATGAATTTATAATGCCAATTTAAAGTATATGATAAAGACTAATTTTCAAGTTTGACCTTTCCATCTTTAGATGTATATTAGTTTAAAACACGTTAATCAAAAATATAAAAAATACCACATAATTACCAAATACTGAATAAGTCACTTTGTTCCATCATCGTAAGCAAAATTTCCCTCTACAAATATATAAGTGGTTTATATATGATCAGAACGTTTACAGTTTAATTGTATTTCACATTTCAACAAAAAAAAGATCGTACAAATTCAATCATCATTTTCGCACTGATTTTATGACTATCAAAGGAACATATAGTGCCACATGTTTTTATCTTTTAATCAACAACACAATTAGGAGGGCAGAAATGAATTCATCAAAAAAGTTGCTTTAAATCGAAGGGAATTATTTGCTTTATTCAAAATTAAAAAAGTTTTATTTTCATTACTTTAAATGAAACAAAAGCACAAACCCAACGGGAATATAAATACCATGTAAAACCCCAATCCAACAACAAATAATCCAACTGGAAGTTTTATTGACGTTATTTAGATTTACAAGTCACTGTTAAAGAGCACTACAACAGGCAACAGAATATAAATACATTTTTTTTCGCTGATGAATTGCTCTTTGTTTGAAAATCGGAGACCGAAGTTAATATCACGATTTGAGTTGCTATTTATTGGATTAAAGACACGTACTTCGTCATCTTAATCCCCATTTGGAACACTAGTACTTTCTTACTTCTTGGTAAGTATTTCCACCCCTTTTCAGTTTTGTTCCCGTCCATCAGTTTCTAATTTCCTAATTTCCCGTTCCTAAAAAATATTTAATAAACCTCTTTTTGTTTAATATCCTTGCCCCAAATTCCCCCATTTAACTGCACATGTTCCTTTAAGTGCAGATTTTGATGTCGTTGCTTTGGATTTTGTAGAAGCTGGTTTCTGAAAAGTTACCTCGTTGACCTTATAATAATAATTCTTCGAATCTCTCTGTAGACTGCCCACAATAAAATGAATTTCAGGTGCGAACTGTTGTTTTCTGTTGTTGTTGTTGTTGTTGTTGTATTTCTATTTTAGATCAGTAACAATCAAATGCATTGACTCACCTTTTGTCTGTCCACGCTGACTTTAATTCTCCACTTTCCAAGCACGGGTTCAGTGTCCATGACGAAAACATCTTCAAAAACACCGTAGATAGGTTCTGATACATTCACGAGCTTCTTCATCTGATTGCCCTTTGGATCCTAGAATGTATTCCAATACATGTTGTACTTTTAAATTTCTAAATTATTGAAATGAATTGTCGTGTAATAACCTTACCTTTAAATTAAACGTATACAAGGTCAGTATTTACAGGAACAACGGAAATCAAGAGCAATGGTTATAAAAATAAAAAAGTTAAGAATTGCAGACTTGCTTTCAGCGTGTGTTACAGACAGAAATGAAGATTCAACATTTCCTACGCTAACTATCACTGACTTAAACAAGTTCAATATCAACCGCTGGTTAAGGACAGAAAATGAAATGTAACAAATCTAGGATGAAGGACTCAACAACAAGAAAATAGTAATTATGTCTTTGAAACCCACGGTCTGTCTGTGCAATCTGTTCGTTATGAATTAAAACACTTACGTAAATTGAGATATTAAACTGACCACTGTAAACCATCATATCAGAAGATATCCCGAATGTCCGGAAACGAACTAAAAAAAACAGAAGAGATAAGATCTAAGTATATGTTGAAATCACTATAATTATTGGATTTCTTTTTCGAATTATTTTCACACAAATCATTTTTTCACAAGTTAATGCTATGTCTTTACCTTCAATCGATTACACAAATTATGACAGAGTGTTATATAAGAGAGAGTTTCATATAAGCTCCATTGTAATATTGTCTGTAAATAATGATGAAGAAATAAATATTGTTTAAACCAAATTATGACAACTTTATGAGTCTAAGAAATCGATATTTACAAATTAAAATAAAAATCATCTCGTAAAATGATTTTCATATTTACCACAACGCTTAACGTTTTCAGTTTTATCAAAAGAATATTTACACCAATAAACGATTTATTACAGACATCATAATCCTATTAAAATACCAGCACACGTTGTTCAGAGTTTCAATGTACAGGGACAACTCATTTTTTTCAATTAAACAAATAAAGGCTTAATAAATATAAATACTACTACCAAGATTAAGAAATGTCCTCTTGACCCATAGTTTTTCATGGATTAGGCACATAGTTAAGTCCTTTTTTAAAAACAGCAGTAAAGGCAATATTTGACAAAATACACGCAAAATAGCGTTTAAGGCAAAATATTTAGAATATTGTTAACAACGTACCTGTCTGTCCTGGTTTGTATATTCCTTTGTCCGTCTGTATGTGAATTGCGAACATTTCTGGTACGGCACCAGAGTCGTAATAAAGAATGGCATGTTGTTGGAAGAATAACCCATTTAGACCGTTTATCAGTAAGGTGTACCTGTTCGGATCATCTCCAGTATCTGGTACCTACAAATTTTAAAACATTTTACAAATTAACCACTTAAAATCTATGTTTGCATGAGAACTTAGAAAATCTGTATTTTCATGAGCAGGTTTATTGGGCCCATTCACTCATTTCTTAAATAAAGAATTATGTGTAAAGCGTAATTTAATAGTAATAAAAAGCCTCAATGCCCAGGCAGGTCTAACTAAAATGAGTAATACAGGAACGTGTAAAATATGATAAGATTTGTGTACAATAAAAAATACATTTACCTTTAATTGCACTAGTTCTGATTTGGCTGAAAAACAAAAAATTTTACTTTAATAAATATTTAATGTTATAATAGCTCCATGAAAAATCGTACAATTATTGACTAGTATGACATTGAATATGATGTGATTTTCTCCGGAAGAGGTCATATTGAACATATTGATAGCCAGATCATATTCGATGGCTCAGAAGTTAATATTTGTTTTATCATATGTATAGTCTAAGATTTTAAAAAGATCACATATGTACAGCCTTATACAACTTTTGTCTGTGACGCGCATATTTCTTACAAGATGACGTCAGGCGTTTAACGTCAATTTTTCGTATTTTCATGTTTTCGTGATTTCGTCTACCAGCACGCAGAACGAATGTTAAAAGCTGAAAATTACGACAAACTGATCATTTTGCGTATTTTCACGTTTTGGTTTTGCGCCTCAGTGTGCGAAAGAAAGGGAAAGAGGTCACTGTCGTATTTTCGCGCCTTTCTTTGGCACCCCAAGGAGCGAAACTACATCATGTCAAAAAAAAAAATAAAGCCATCAAATCTTACTGAAAAGCTTCTATTGCACGTTTGTTTGTGATTATTCTTCATTTCAATTACGCCTAATATTACTTTATCTTATAATGTAAATCTATTTATATAATTATACCCGACTCTATGAACTATCTTAAACTTATGTCATTAAAAAAAACACAACATACAGTTATCTCCCCCACATGTATTAACAGGTCATTACCTCCCTTGAAGGTATGAGTAAGCGTCGACACACTGTGATGATCATCACGTATCAAGTCAACTTGTACATCGACATCAACCCCGGAAATGTTGTAGAAATTAAACGTCAGCGGAATCGGCACCCCAGGGGTGTATCTGTCCGGAACAACTATCCAGTGCGATCTAAAAAATAATAATTTATTATATAAAAAATAAGCAAAAATCGACTTTCCACATGTATACAATGATATATAGCACCAAACTTGATGTAGATTTCGTTTTTATTATGTTTTACCGTATTAAATCATTTCAATGATAACAATGAATTTATTGAATACAAGCCATTAAATAGAAAACGAGTTTAGAACCCACCTTTGGCCTTTTGCTACATGTAGAGAAATGTATTCTTATTTTTGAAAGAAACAAAAACTAAAATAATGTTAATCAAAAGGCTCATTGTGTATAACCCACATCTAGCGAGAACTAAAATTGGCCAGCCTGCAAGTCCGAACAGTCTGACCGTCTGACCAGACTCTATACCGTTAGATGATCTTGATATCAACAACAAATGAACAGAAGCTAGAGAATTTTATTTCAGAAAGACAGGAAGTTAAAAGTATAACAATTACCCGGTGATACTCGAATCTTTTGCGTTAGTGACATCACTCGCCAAAAACACACACAACAACGTGCAAATAAACAGCATTTATTACTCTTCAGTATTTGTTAAGAAGTTTAAAATTCACTATCTGTAATACAAAGAACAAATTTCAAAATAGTACATACTATTTTCAAAGGTTATGTATTAGAATGAAAACTTAAGTCATAAGTCCTAAAATGGAAGGTCTTGAAACTTAAAATGGTATCATTATAATATTGTCGCTTAGAATCATTATATTTCTTTTATCTCTTTTAGAACCCTTTTTATGTATAGGAATAACTTTGGCATTTTTGAACGAATTAGGAAATGTATTGTTTAGAATGCTATTATTGGATAGAGTATTGGAGCAATGATGATGATGGTAACCCTGTTACTGACCCTTTTATCACTGCAAATTTGTTCAACAGACAATTTGCGAATCTTCGCCAATCCCACCATGCCATTCATCAGACTGTTTATGAAAATCCTGAGCTTTTTGAACTAAATACATCTTAACTTCAGCATATACCCCCTTTCAAAATACCTAAAATACTGCTCATTTATGTGTTGAACCAATTAAAATCGATAGATATTACAAAGTCATGTGGGTCAGATGGTCTCAGTGCAAGGTTTCTTAAGTTATTGTATATAATATTTCAGCTTCGGCATCAAAAGTATTAGGGTCTATGCGGGCCTCAAAAGATCTACTTTAAACCAAATTTATATATCTTATATGCGTCCTTTACTGGAGTATGCATCAATTGTTTGGGATGGGTGTGCTGAATATGAAAATACAATCACTTGAGAAATTAAAATACCAATCCGCTAGAATTATTACGGGTGCAACTCGATCAGTATCAATAGATTGCTTGGTCAAAGAAGTAGGTTGGGTAGGCGAAAAATTCAAAAACTTACGGTTTACTACCGGATTATTTATATTCTTTGTTTCCGCCAACTGTATCAGAAACTACTTATATTATCCTTTTCGAAATAATTACAATTATATAAGTAAAGCTAGGCGCACTCAGTTATATAATGCATCGTTTTACCATCCTCCTTAGAATTATGGAATGAACTCGACCCTGATACAAGACACAATCAACATATTTAAATATAGACTTAAAAACCTGTTTTAAGCACCAACGGTTCAGAAGAATTATTTTTCTTATCAATATTGCATACACGTTTAAGCAATAATTGCAGTAATTTAAATAATGAATTAGTTAATGTTTATGATAAGACCTTGATATTGTGATTAAAATGCCGAGCATTTCCTTTACAAATGTAATCGTTACGTCGAACAAATAATACTATTTCGAGAAACTCGATCTTATTATCCATTAACATTGATACATTATTGTTTGGTCTAGAAAATTTAGAATATGAAGATAACGTTGTCATTTTCGAATCGGTTTAATCAATTATGAAGAAAGACGACCCATTATTTTGATGGTATTTGACTTTTCATCTTGTTCTTGTTTTTATTCTAATATTTGTCATTTGTCTTGGCTTAATTGCTCTAATCTAACCTACTTAAATGACAAACATTCACAAACCATCATTCTTCAAAAACCATACTACAATGCAGCTATTTTAAATCACTTTTAATGATTGCAACCTGTGGATGAATTGCACATCAAAATGAAAATTGTTAAAAATCGAATACATATTTATAAGTTTATAAACATGTTTAAAGTAATCATTGTTGCCTTATTATTTGTTCTGTAATATTTTTCTTTGGAAGGGCTTAATCTAATGTTGTAAGAACTTGTTGCCCATTGGGCACCCATCATTTGCATATTGATATATACTTATTATTTGTATGATAATTTTGTAAACATGTATTTAATACAATAAATTACATGTATGTTGAAACTTATCTGTACTATCAACGCTTCTTTCTTCAGTTTTAATTAATGTGTCATGCTCTTACTACATTATTAAAACATTATTAAACAAATTTTGACATTAAGAAAGAATATAATAGATTTATTTTAACGGATTTCGGAGGCATAATATATGTTTAATTTATATAGATTTATGGATTCATAATTTAAAATCAATTTCAAGGTGGGAAGAATTAAGCCATTGGCCAGCGTAATATCAATTTTCGTATGCTTAGATGATAAAGTATTATTATATGATAACAAATATGCAGTTCTTTTCATTTAAAAACAATTCGTATGTATAGAATATAAAATTATTATTTTTGGAGAAAAGTCCACTCACCTTTCCTTGTACGTAATAATCTTATTTCTTCCCGGTTTTTTATATATTACACAATCCAACAAAAATTAGAGGTCTATATCAAAACTGTCCTATCTCTACTATTATCTGAAACAAGATACGTCAGTTTAGAAATCGGCTCATATCTTATCAGAATACTCGCATGAACTTTCTTAAATTCCTGGTGCAGACTAGGTTATTCAAGGAATCCCTATCTAATTAAGGACATGATTTTGATAAAATCAATTTGTTTGACATGTTGTGAATTTCAGTTCGCCGTACACAACAAGTCACCGAGAACAGCTATAGGTCAAGTACGATGAAGATTCACAGACACAATATGACGTTTTGGAGACAAAGGAGCACAGGGTTGAATAAGTGCAATAAGTGTTCCGAATGAGTATGAAGCTGCAAAATATCACGAAAACGACGTTTTATCACAGAAAGTGTAATAAAACCATTTCATAAAAACGATATTACATAGTGTATAACAGTTTGATGTGACTCATTTTAACTGTAAACCTTTCTCTTTTTGAATATATGATAAATAGAATATTATATTCGTGTAGATTGACTTCTAAATTTATTAAATTCGTTGATTTAAACAATATTATACTCGCCAGAAGCTCACATAATATGATTTCATTTAACCAGTTTAATAAATTTAGAATTAAACCTACACTCATTCAATATCCTCTATATATTGCATTCAATGCCGCAAGTAATAGCTGAACATGCTTTGATGTTGTTATTTCAATAATACATTATTACAAAAGTATATTTATGTTTTGGCAAAATTGATCCATGATTTATAGAGGAATTTAATAAGATTCAATACTTAATTTATAATTTACGATCTGATGGCCTAGTGGTTTTAAAAACGAAATGTTAATACCTATGTTACTATATAATGTAACAGAAGCTAGTGTATTTCATGGTTATATGGCAATATTTGGGTAATATTGATATTATTTCGCCCTGCTACCCTGCTACTCGGCGTCTTTTTGCGATGGACGTGCCCTCAGGCGCGTTCAGAGCTATGTCATCTACACATTGGATTTCGTCGGCTACAATCGCGCAAGTGTCCTCAACCGAATAACAGCCCAAAAAATAGTACATGAATTTGATCCTATGAAACTCCCATACTTTGTCGGGATATCTTAAAAACTTCCATATTTAGCCTTTTCAATTTCAAATTAAGATATCCAAGTTCAAATATGAACGTATTTGATTTGATAAAAACGCTGTAGCCCAGTAGTATTATTGCGCAATATGCAAATAACTGCTGAAACAATTTACCGCTGTCGAAAAAGTAGGACAGCAAATTATGCTATAATTAAGGAGTAAGCTCAATAATTCATAGAAATTATAAGTAGGAAATAAATATTTCTCCATTAAACAAAACATTTTTATTAACAGAACAGTTTTTCGTGACTCTATAATAACTCGCGCATTAATAAAAGAAGAACTCTTTTCGTGACTCATACCGCGGGTTCAGCTGAATATCCAGCAGTTATTAATAAATTAGACTGCAGTACAATGGTTAGTATTATAAATATCTATTTTTGAAAATGCATGTAACAAGAGAGTTTTTCAACACTTTACCACCATGTAGTCTTTTATTCTAATCTTTATTGAAGGAAGTTATAATATCAGTTCTACTTCCGATTCTTGTGTTTTGTTTACATAATTTTCTAGGTCACGATATGACCTGAAGATAACACTATTCTAAAAATAGATTCTGCATCACCTGTGCTGACTTTCGGACAAGCGATTAAGGAGTACACATTATACATGTAATAAACCAGCGGATACTTACTTTGTTTACATGCAATACTTTAAGAAATTCTATACAATTATTGTAAGAAGCAAACAAGTTAAAATGGAATTAAGTGTGAAATTGAAAGGGACAACTAAACACTGTAGTGCTTAAGTGACATTTAAATTAAAATAAAAACGATGTGCTCTGGCCTCTACATCTTTACCTTGTACATTCTAAAAAAATCTAAAAAAAATACAGCATTAATTACTGATGATTTTAACCAAAAATATTAATGAGACATATCCAAGAGAAATAAAAATACAAATGACTAATATTTTATTGTCTATATGCCCACGATGATATAACACGAAGCAATTCTAATTAACATTCTCACATGTATTATGTATTTTGCTTGAAGTTTCTTTGCATGGTTTTATTTTAGAAATATTTCGTCGACAGTCTTTTTTCTATTTACTTATCATTTCTTGGAATAAATCGATAAGGACACTGATTAACAAGTTTGACCAGAGTTTTTAGGCATAACTTTCTTTCTGTATTTAAAAATTTTTACTTGTTCTGCTTGAAAGTAGAAAATCTGAATTATATCAGATTGGGACACATAAAATATATTGCTCTACAAAGCTCGAACTTGTATGGAACAAATTTTCTCTGTTATATCTTTTGTAATTTTTTTTCTAAAAAAAGCCTTAATGTCTCTCCGGTTGCATGTCTGTCGCATTCAGTGCTGCAGCACTTTGATTTTCCATAATAGGCGAGTAAATCTAAGTTTAGATGGACATAGTCAATCGTGATCAACAAAGCTTAACTTGGACTATCTATAAACTCAAGAGAAAAAGATCAAACCAATACATGACCCTCGGAAATTCAGAAAATTTCTTTCAGATTGACGGTAGCTCTACTATACAGACATAAAAGCAGAAATTTTAAAAACCAATATTAAAGCTAAAAAATATATCTAGTCGTTGATATATCAATATAAAACTAAGGCTACATCTCCAGGTAGATCTTAAGGAACTATTAAACAATTTGTAACAAAGGAAGAACTAGAACCATCAACAGGACAGGAAAATAAAACGCCAGATTTGTGACTTGACATCATTACCGTTCTTAAAAGAACA